CTTTAGAAAGTAAAAAGCTGTAGGCATTGCCTCTTGTCACATAGCTGCCTGAAGTCACTATCAATAAATTACTAGTTTAAGGAAAACAATGACAAGCCTTTTCCATGGAGAACAGGGTTTGCTCTCTCAATTATTTCCTAAAGTCATGCCCTGTTTCCCAGCTTGACACCATCATTTCTGAGGCAACAGCACTGAGTCTGTTTGTTGTCTTTGAGTTGCACAGTGACACCGCACCTGTCACAGGAGCCCAGTAAACTGAGAGAGCAAAGCCGCCTTCTGGCTGAGAAACTGGTCAAGTAATGATCATTGCATCGTTAATTAAGTGACTGCTTTGTTCAAATGACTTACCAGCGTGGCTCTAAATAGGGTGTATTTGTTTTTCAATCTAGTTTGTGTGTGTGTGTGCGCGTGTGTGTGCGTGTGTGTGTGTGTGTGTGTGTGTGTGTGGAAAATTTCGGTGACTATTCTCTACTGCTAAAAAGTTTTGATGAAACACTTATAATTCTATTTCAATGAAGTCTGACCTTTTAGAAAATTTAGCAACCTAGGTACACAATAAGAAAGTCAGGAAATCAGAAATACTTTTCCTAAATCACTGCAAGATGGAAGGCTTCGGCTTATTTTCCAAAATTCCTTCTTTCCAGTAGAGGTAGGAAGCAGAAGGTGCTAGGAAAGAAGAAATGAGAGATTGCTTCTTTCACCTCCTATTTGAAAACATACTAAAGCTGATAGCATTGTCCCTGAGATTTGCAACCCTCTGTTAGAATCACAAGTCCCTTGGGAAATAAACTCCTTTAAAGAAAAATCTCTTGGGAAAACATTAACTTTGTCCCTTTGAGCATGCCCCCAACAACCATCGAGGAAGTTCATAATTATTTTTTTCTTTCTTAGAAACAAAAGTGGCCCTTGTGGGGTTTTTGGCTTTGTTTTATTTTACTTTGGGCTGGAGCGATAGCAAAGTGGGTAGGGCGTTTGCCTTGTACGCAGCCGACCCAACTGACTTGGGTTCGATTCCTCCGCCCCTCTCGGAGAGCCCGGCAAGCTACCGAGAGTATCTTTCCCATACGGCAAACACAGTAGCAAGTCTCACATTGGAGACATTACTGCACCCTTTCGAGCAAATTGATGAACAGGAGGACCGTGCTTTCTTTTCTTTTATTTTATTTTAAGAGATTGGGTGGGGGGGGCGTGTTGAGAGGGGTGCAGTGAAATTGGGTAAGGGGCTTCCAGCATCCAGAAGGCATTTAACGTGCTGCCTCCTACTCTCAACATCTGGGAAGTTTGGGTGAAGGGGGTCTGTCTCTAAATTCTCGTCCTCTCCCTCCACCAGTTTCAAACTTGTTTGAGGACATTGTATAGTTTCTGTCATCCACACACACATGCTCCTAAGCAAATCCACCAGATGCAGAGAGAGCAACAGGAGGTGGCAGCAGGCTGGCCATGGTATCACTGGATGCGTCCCCTCTAAACCTGGCCAACACTAGTTACTTCCTGGGCGAAAGCCAGCCTGAGAACTTGGGGACCCTGCCAAGGCTCTGACAGCCTTGAAGCCCAGCTCTGTTGCCAGAACCACACAGGAAAGTCATTAATTCATTAAAGAAAGGCTCCGTGAACAATTAGAGAGCTTGTTATTTTTCCATCCATGGGCTAGCAGCATGGAGAATCTCCGAACATTCCCTTTAAGTGTTCTGGAATATGGGGATGAGGGCAATAAAGACACACATATAGAAACGGACTCTCTCACATGGAGCCACTCTAAGGAGCATGGAAATAAACAACAAAGGACCTTTCAGAGGTGGGAGATTTCAGAAAGCAATTGGCAGCAGTCAGGTCAGAGAAAGGAGACACAGTATGCAGGGGACCTGGACTTGGGAGTCCAAGAGAGGCCAGCTGCACATACCCAGAATGAGCTCAGTCAAATTCTCCACCCCCCCTTTGTACCTCGGTTTCCCTGCTGTGGAATAGAGAGGGTACACATCATGTAGAAGTGGTTGGGGATGACATGAGGCGGACTGCACGTGACCAGCACCCCCAAAAAAAGCTTGAGAATTTTTGCTTTGTTTTGAAAAACATCAGAAAATGATTGCTTTTTAAAAATGCAGTTTTAAGTACTTTTGTCTCAGGGGGAAATATGAGGGTATCTTTCCTTGGAAAGAGGAAAGGAGAACTACTATGAAAAAAAATCAACATTAGGGAGTGAAAAGTAAGGGAAGGAAGCTAGTGTTTCATTTCTAAACATTCATTCTGCTATATATGAAAATGTTTCATGTCTATGTTTTTTTAAGTTGAAGTCCAGAAAAATGCAAGAAATAAATGAAAATCAAATTATTTCGCCCACTGAAAACACCAATAACATTTCCTAAAGCATATTTTATTTATTTATTTATTGTTGTTGTCTGGTTGGTTACTTGGTTGGCTGATTTTTTTACAGTAACAGGGGATTGAAGCATATGCAAGCAAAGTGGTGATGAATATTTTGATAACTGAGATTATACTACATAATGCATTGTTTTGAATCCTGCCTTTACATCTAAATATTTCATAAAATTGTCATTAAATGCTCTTTATAAACATTTACAATTTTAAATGGAATTTTACATAAGGAGGAATAAAAATTTGAACCATTCCACTTATAATAGACATTTAGGACTGTTTAGACAGTTCACTATGTAAATAGTATTTCCTTGGTTATCTTTATGACAGAAAAGATATTGCCTTTCAGACAATTTTCTAGAAGTAGAATTATTGTTCAAGGTTCGCATTGAACACAAAATGTTTTCCAAAGAGGATATCCCAGCGCGTTACCACCAACCACAGGGGTAGAGGTCTTATCAAATTCTGAGACTATTATCATTGAAAAGAGTGGTTTGGGATTAATTTGACAGTTACCTTATTAAATAGCATTTCCTTGTTCTCTGGAGCTGTTTCCTTTTAGCAGATAAAGCTAAGAGGATTTAAAGGAGTCGTCAGATAAAGAAAGGAACTTTCTTTTGTCTGCAATCAACAAATATTTATTGTGGGAATCATTTTTATTCCAGATTTATCTTCTCTCCCTTTGGGGCAGGTTTGTGGGATTCCACGGTTCAGATTTTAGTCATTGGGGAGAGTTTTGGGGTAGGATGTAGCTAGTATTCTGGCTCTGCCAACCAAGCTTCATGAGAAGCAAGCTCTGAATTTTTTTAAATGAATTTTAATTGGAAATGTTCAAAATTCCAGTCCTTCAAAGGATAGATACCTGTTCTACCACATTTATGAAAATGTGAAGATTCTGGCTAAATACAGAACAAAAGTGCATTTTGAAAGTTTTTTTTAATTCCACAAAAAAAATCAATATTATTGATTTTATCTATTCATGACTGGGTCTGCAGTCTCTGCGTCGCACTTCTTGACCCCCAATATCGACTTTTCAGTAGGTGAGAACCTTCCTCCCACAAATATCAGGAAAGGGACCCCAGACAAAGGAGGTAAATGTGAACTGAACTTGGGGGACCACCTCCAAGATGGAAGATTTTATCTGGAAGAAAAGCCTGTTTATATGGTTCAGTCGATAAGAGTCCACCCCTCCGGACGGTCCTGGGCCAGGGTGGGAGTGGGGTACTCCAGACTGGGATCCGGAAAGGAGCGTTCCAAATCCTTACTCACTCCTCCCGCCTGCTGATGCTCGCTGGCACCTCGGTCCCCACCTTCACGCTTGCAGGCGCGCGCGCCTGCGGTCACAGTTTCTCCGTCCGACCCCTCCCTCGCCTCCTGCCCCACCCAGGCTGCGCGCCGGCGGGAAAGCACTGCCGGGCGCCCACTGAAAACCCAGCCCTGTGGCACCGCTCTGGACCAGCAGCTTCCTTCAGCCACCCCATCCCGCCCTACTCTTCCACCTTATTTCTTGGTGCCAGGGTGCAACCCCCGCATGGCTGAGTGGGATAGTGAAAGATGCTTCATGGGTGCAAGCCCGACTTGGAATCCCCAGCCCACGCTGCCAGTTTATCCCTGCTTCCCTTTTCTGCACTTGGGGACCTTGTCCTTTGCTTTCAGGCTCTGTCCCTAACGCCGAGAGCGGTGGCGCTCAGGGGACGCTCAGTAACGGTCTGACCACCGAACTCACCGCTGCCGCCTTGCGTAAGGGTCACACCCACGGGATGTTGTGAGAATGAGTGTTTCTTAATCACTGCGTGATCCTTTGACATTTCTCATTTGCTAGTTTTCTCTTAACCATGAAACACTCCTTTATCATGATTAAAATACTACTGACGAATTGGCCACTGGGGAATATACCTACTTCTTGATCACAAGCTCCCTCTAGAACGATGCCAGCCCAGTCTCTCTTTTTCGGAGAGGTTTTTTTCCTTTTCTTTTCTTTTCTTTTTTTTCTTCTTTTCCCTGGTGGCTGACCCCTGACCGGGTGCTATTCCCCGTGGAGGTGTGTGTGCCTAGCTCTGCAGACCAGCGCTCTGAAGAAAGTATCTTTATCTTGTTTTCTGCGTGCAATTTGCACCTCCTGCTAGACCGGCGGGTAGAAAAGTCAGGTGCTGGACTCACTTTCCCGCATTGCCGCCTACCGGTTGGGTTATTCCAGCAAGTGATTTCCCCCTCTCCGGGCCTCCGTGTCCCCGTTTGTGACGGTTCCCGGGTCTGATGGGCTATCCACGTGAGCCAGGATGGATGCTACTACACTCAGCCAGGGATGCGTCGGTGGCCCGCGCTTCCAACCTCCCGTGGGCGCATCCTGCGTTCCCAAGTGGAAAAGGAGTGCCACTCTTTGGGTCTCCCCAGCTGGAGACTCACAGAGGGACCTGCAAGCAACTGCAGCCGCGCGGGGGCTTCCCGGGCTGACCCCAAGGGGGCCGCCGAGGACGCACCCCGGGTTCCCCGCAGCCCTCCAGTCGCTCCTCCGCTGCCCACCCCGCCCCCGCCGCCCCGCCCCGCCCGCTCACCCGAGCTGCGCATGCCCAGCCCGCGGCGCGTGTTTTTATAAAAGTCGCGCTCCGGCCAGAAACTTCAGTCCGAAGCTGCGGGAGCAGGTAGCAAAGTGACCTCAAGGACTTGGGTGCTCTGGTGGCCACCGCGGCTGGAAAGCGAGCGGAGACCATGGACGTGTTCCCTGTAAGTCCGCTTTCCGTTGCCTTTTTTTTTTTTTTTTACCCCTTCAAGGCTACAAAATAACCTGAATTTTGGAGCGCACCCGCAAAATCAGCAGAAAGGAAATTGGACGTGCCCCGGGAAGGAGCATAGAAAAAAGTTGTAGTGTGCATGGTTTTGTAGGAAGGGTAGAACTGGAATATTTTGCTCTGGAAGCAAAGGAGTTCGGGTTGGAACGGCCCGTTGCGGGGGTCGGTGGAGGGATGGGGGGAGGGTTTGGCGTTTGTGTGTCTTTCCCTCCGGAATCCCGCGGCGCGCGCCGGGCTTGCATGCTGTTTGCAAACAGAAGGACATTCGGTTGCACTAGTGCAAGAGAAAGGGTGCACCGCAGTCCCGGGACTGAGCCCTTGGGTTTTTTCCTTGGAGGAGAGAGAGGCTCTTGGGGGGCGAATTCTGTGATCTGAGATGAGCGGCGGCGCTCTGGGGATGAGTTCCCGGAGAGAAAGCGCCCCCGATTAAACTTCAGGCAAAGGCACCCTTCTCGCCGACTGCGCGCGCCTTTGCAAAACTTTGCGTGGCCGTCGGTGCCCGGCTACTAACCCCCACCCCGGGGCATAGAGAGTCGAGGGCGGGAAAGGTGGGCAGAACCCTCCGTGCGGCGGGCTCGACGGCTCTGAGTGTTGCGTGCAGTTGGGTGGTTGCGGGGGAGCCGTCTGATGCTCTGTGGTCGAGGGAGAAGCCTCGGGAGCCGCGGGCGGGCAGTGGGTGGCCCCCAGCGTTGGAGTTCGGGAAGGTGGCGAGGTCACCGAGGGCGCACAGCGCCGGAGGTGCGCGCCGCGGCACTGGGTGTGGATTGTGTGGTTGGTGGGGCACCTGGGCTGCGGGTGGCCGCGGCGCCAACAGACAGGTGCTGACTGGGACCGTTTGGCCAATTGCGCCGTTTTAACCGTCGGTGGTTTCCTGAAGCCTTTTGAAACCCTGTTACTACTACTGAGGCTTTTCGTTCCTTCCCAGCGGCGCGCGATTCAGAGGTGCCGCAGAGGAGCCGCCCAGTCTGTGTCCCCGGCGCCGGCGGGGACCGTGGCTGGCGCGCGGCGGGGCCCACCCCGGGAGCGGCTGCCCGGGGCGTGGTGCACAGATGCGCGGGCCCGGGGACTAGACCACCCGGCCCCCAGCGCGCTCTCTGCCGGGAGGTTTCTTTCCAGCTGCAGACGATCGCAGGGTCCGAGGGGAAGGGAAGGGAGAGCCACCCCGGAGAGTTAAGGAAATGAAATTTAGCGTGAGGACCAAGAGCGTAGACCCCCCCAGGCCCCTCCCGGAAAAACGCTGTGTTGCCTAAATTTCGAAGCGCGCCAAGGGTTCGATCAGCCTCAGCCTGGCCCAGAAGACTCATGCGTCCCTCTCCACCTCTGTCCAGGAGGCTAGCCGAGGTGGGAAGGTGTCCACTCTGACACTAACCCCCGGTCCCAAAAACCAAACACTCTAAATTCGAATGCACCTTTAATGCTCCATTCTCTTTCCCCCTGTACGTGTTGCTTGGAGCACTGAAAGGTTTGTGTCGAGATAAGTACTCAGGAAACAATGGTTGGTGCTTTTCTAAACAGGCGTGTTGGGAGAGAGATAGGACAGTGGGCTAGGTGTTTGCCTTGCCAACAGCCAACGCGTTCAATCCCAGGCAGTGTGGTCCCCACAACATCTCCTGGAAGCCAGGAATAAGCCCTGAGCATTGCTGCAGGTAGCCCCCAAACCACCCCAACCCCATAAAGAGACTGAGTCTTTGGGATGCCCTCACAGCTCTCTTCCTCCCCTCTCCTTAATTCGGCCCCCCCTCCAACTCCCCACCACACACACTCACATATACACCAGCACAGCCACCACCTTAGCACCACCACGCTGCCTAAGAGTGCCCTCTGTGTTTTGTTTTGGTGGGTTCCCCTCCACCCCCATGGTTTTTTTCTTCCGCTCTAGTGGATGAGGCAGAAGAGTTAGCAAAGATGGGACTTTGAACCCCTCAGAGTCCCAGCGCCCTTTTGTTCTAGACAAAGAATTTTGTAATTGGTTCAACTAAAGAAGGATCTAAAGGAAGTGACTGGGGGAGGGGCCATGGGAAAGAAGGCTGTTTCTATAATAAGGTTCTGTAATAATTCTCCTGTGCCCTCTCCCAGTACTTGGGGTGGCAGTGCTGAGCCAGGTTGGGCTTCCTAAGTTCCTCTTATATACCAGAAGTTTCATGTGTCATAAGTTTCTTTATAGCAGAAACTTATATGACCACAGTCATAAGTTTCTTTATAGCAGAAACTTTTTTTTTTCATTTGAACTTGGATAATGCCTGCTGAACTTGAAAGTGAATGTGTATCCCCTTGACTCTTTTGCAGATAGATTCCTCAGATAACTACACAGGAGACGACTTGGGCTCTGGTGACTTTGACTTCAACAAGGAACCCTGCTTCAGGGAGGAAAATGCCCATTTCAACCAAATCTTTCTGCCCACTGTCTACTCCATCATCTTCTTGACTGGCATAGTGGGCAATGGGTTGGTCGTCCTGGTCATGGGCTATCAGAAGAAACTAAGAAGCATGACCGACAAGTACAGACTACATTTGTCTGTGGCAGACCTCCTCTTTGTCCTCACACTTCCCTTCTGGGCAGTTGATGCTGTGGCAAATTGGTATTTTGGAGACTTCCTATGCAAAGCAATTCATGTCATCTACACAGTCAACCTGTACAGTAGCGTTCTCATCCTGGCCTTCATCAGCCTGGATCGGTACCTGGCCATCGTCCATGCCACCAACAGTCAGAGGCCAAGGAAGCTGCTGGCGGAGAAGGTGGTCTATGTCGGCGTGTGGATACCTGCTCTGCTGTTAACCATTCCTGACCTCATCTTTGCCAATACCCAGGTGATCGAGGACAGGGTCATGTGTGACCGCTTCTACCCCAGTGACTCCTGGATGGTGGTGTTCCACTTTCAGCACATTGTGGTTGGCCTGATCCTGCCAGGTATCGTCATTCTGTCCTGCTATTGCATCATCATCTCCAAGCTGTCACACTCCAAGGGCTACCAGAAGAGAAAGGCCCTCAAGACCACAGTTATCCTCATTCTGGCGTTCTTCGCCTGCTGGCTGCCCTACTACATTGGGATCAGCATTGACTCCTTCATCCTCCTGGAAATCATCAATCAAGGATGTGACTTTGAAAACACAGTGCACAAGTGGATTTCCATCACTGAGGCCCTCGCCTTTTTCCACTGTTGCCTGAATCCCATCCTCTATGCATTCCTTGGAGCCAAATTTAAAACCTCTGCCCAGCATGCACTCACATCTGTGAGCAGGGGGTCCAGTCTCAAGATCCTCTCCAAGGGAAAGCGGGGTGGACATTCTTCTGTTTCAACCGAGTCTGAGTCTTCAAGTTTTCACTCCAGCTAACACTCATGTGAAAGACTTCTACTATAAAGAACTTTTGGTTAAAGTTACACCTTTTTCCAGATACAAAAGACTGACTGACCGATACTGTACAGTTTTTACTGTTGTATTTTCTTGGTTTTTTGGTGTGTTTTTTTTTTTTAGTTTTTGTGAAGTTTAATTGATTTATTTATATAAAATGGTTTTTCTTTTGTTTGTTCGTTTCATGTATATGAGAGTCTAGGCAGGACCTGTGGCCAAGTTCTTAGTTGCTGTATGTCTGGTTGTAGATTGTAGAAAAGGGAACTGAACATTCCAGAGTGTAGTGAATCACTTAAAGCTAGAAGTGATCCCCAGCTGTTTGTGCATAAATAATCTCTCCATTCCAGTGGAACATTTCTTTTTCCTGTTCCTAAGATGTTTGGTTACACTATCTGAGTTTTGCAATAGAAATGGCACTTATAACCAAAGCCTGAAAAGGTGTAGGAATGCTGGTTGTTTTGGTTTTCAGGAGTGGATTGATTTCAGCACCTACAATGTACAGTCTTGTATTAAGTTGTTAATAAAAGTGTGTGTAAAACTTTCTTAGTGATGTGTGCGCTTTTTCTCTTGACATTCCTTTGACTAGCATAAATAAAAAATAATTAGAATATATTTATGCCATGCCGGGTACTGCCCTAACACTTATGACAGCTTTGTGATAGGCTCTTGGTTCTGTTAACTGAAGTGACTTGGCTAATGGCATTGAGTAAGTAGAAAAGCTAATATTTTAAGCCAGGTGACATGATTTCAAATCAAAACTCATCATAGCTTTTCAATTCAGAACCTTAGAAATGTGTAGCCAGTTCCTATTGTTACAAAAGTCATTATTCCAAAGGCAAAAACATGATTAAAAGAAGAAAAGTATGCAACGTCATGTTTCATATTTTACTCTTCCCTTTTGTATAATACAGGTCTGTGCTGTGCCAAGACTTGAGACCTTTTCTTCTGTAAACACTTAAATATAAATAGCCTCACTGACTTGCAGACACTTTTTATCACTTGCACTTTGAAGGCAATAACCAGAAATTGATACCATTTCATTACCCCCTGCCTTTTTTTTTTTTGTAAAAATTACCCACTAGGCCTCCCCAGAACACCTGGCCATAAGTCAACTGAGTTGTTTTTTGAAAATAAAAGCCAGAAGTGAATGTTTTCCTCATAAAATTAACCATGCCCAAAATAGCCCATTTGCAACATTGTTCATGCAAATCACAACACTTGCTCTATTGCGATACCTATCCCCTTAGGGCTTCAGCCAAGCAAATAAACATTACATTGGTTAGAATACAGTAGAAAGGTCCACTAAAGCAAACTTCCCACTGCCCATATTTTGTACAAGATTTTGGGAGTCTTCTATAACATAATCCTCAACTATTCACACAGCCATTATGCAAGCTCAAGTAAATTTTTGTTCTGGTGTCCATTTAAAAATTAATCTCTGATACCAGAGAGATGTATAGTGGGTAAAGTGCTTGCCTTGAATGCACCTGACAGGTTCACTACCGACACCACGTAATGGTCCCTCTGAGGCCTGCCAGGAATGATACCTGAGCACAGCTGAGTATGACCCCAAGTTTTAAAAAAATAAAAATAACTTCTAAACTCTAGGAACTATAACTATCTCACTTGGGAGCACAAACGGCACTCCAGGCATGTACTCACAGATCATAACCAGGATATAATTAAGGTAATATTTGGTCTACTTTTTATAATTGTTTCTGGCATGGAAAATGCATTTTGGAGGAAAAATTGCAATGCCTTATCTTTCTGAAGCAAATTACATTTGTTGAAGGCAAATTATAGATCCTGTGAAGGGAAATAACTTAATTACTTAAAATAGAATCCAATTTGGCTGTACATTTTTTGCTGCAGTCTATGGATCTGGGATAATTCAGAGTGGTGTTCCTAGTCCACTTTGAGAACACAATTAGATTTTATAAGGGAAATTACCTTGAGATTTCTTGTCTTTCCCTGGGAAGCCTAATTGGATCACTCTTCATTTAAGCATAGTTATACATGTACGTTCTCAAAGGCTCGGTCTTACAGGCATGACCATTGTAAAAGACTTCACTTGAACTTTCTCTATAAATATTTATTCTCGAGGAGACAATAGAAGAAATCCTTGGAAGGAATTCTTTTTCTTTCTCATCTTGGCTTGAAACCTAGTCACTCCAGATTCCTCTCCACTGCCCTGGAGTCACAACAAAAGAAACTGAGCCGAAACAAAATTCCCAGTGTCCCTAGTCTTAATGGATATTTCACTCTCCTCTGAAACAAAGGTGGGGTATCTCTTTCAAAAAAAAAAAAAAAGACTTGGCTCGCTCCTCCCTGCCCCAAAAGCTTTCCTTCATGGTTCTCTGTCCCAGTCTGCTAGTTTTCTGACAGTTTCGAAGCTTTCTGTGTCATGGTCTGTGCCACGAGCCTGGGAAACCTATTCTGGTGGCCAGCCTGGCCCTGAAGTGGCCGATTATTCTCTCCCTTCATCCCCTATGAACAGGACCCCTTGAGGGTCAGTAATGAAGACCCAGTCACACAGTGGAAACTAAAATATTTAAATCGTATGCATGCTTCCAAGGAAGGCATAAACATGAAGTCTGAGTTATTAATAACATGAAGCCAGTAACTGAGAAGTAAGGTGGATGTTTTTATCTTGCAAAGCCTTTGTTTTCCTAAAGTACCCCTTGGAAATTCACCATCCCCAAGTGTGGGGGATTTTGTGGTTAGGTCTTTATGAAAATAATAATTCACAACATTCTTTTAAGAAGATAATGTTTAGGCTTAATTTAAATAATGCCTCTAAAGTGTCTGTGTGAAGCTTCCTCCTAGCTTATGTCCAATAGTGAATAAAAGTTCCACTAACACAATTGAACAACATGATTCCCACCTAAAAATCAGGAGGGGCAAGGACCACTGGAATTCACTCTGCTTTAGAAATTCCCATTTTTCAGGGCCAGAGAGAGAGAAAGAGAAAGAGGGGGAGAGAGAGAGAGAGAGAGAGAGAGAGAGAGAGAGAGAGAGAGAGCGCTCAGAGGGTGAGACATTTTTCTAGCATGTAACTACCCTCAGTTCCATCTCTGGTACTGCATGTGGTCCCTGAGCACGGCCACAAATAAGCCTCTGCACAGAGCCAGGAGTAACCCCTGACTAAGCCCTGGGTGTGACCCAAACCTCCCCAACCCCCAAACCCCACCCCCACCCCTGCCCCAGAAAACAACAAAAACAAAAACAAGGAAATTCTCATTTCCCTAACTCTTAGAAATGTGACATTGGAGCCTGACATGGTAGGGATTTACCCAGATTTTGAGGAAGCCCAGTCACTACTGGATTGATTTCCCATGAGTACAGCCTGAAAGAGCTTATTACTATAGGCCCACAGGCTGAAACGAATCTGAAACGAATCCTTTCAAAGCTTTGTCTCTGAGCTAGGAGTGATTTTGTACCACCCCTTCCTCCAGCAATTGTTAAGTCTGGAAACATTTTAAGTTATCTTGGTGGGGTGGGGGGATGTGCTGAGGGGGAGGATAAGGAGCTCCTGAAACCTAGTGAGCCCACACTGCAGGTGCTGCCCAGCAGCCAACCATGTGCAGGATAGGCTTGCACAACATTCATACAAAACAAAGTGTCAACAGCACAGACCCAGCCAGAGAGATGAAACAGCTGGTCAGATGTGTGCTTTGCAAGCTGCCTACCCTCCTTCCATCCACAGCACCAGCTATGGTTCCCTGAGCACCACCAGGTGTGACCCCAAAACCCAAAACTGAAAAGCATACATAAAAACTGCACAAAACAGAGAACGCTCCCCCCGATGCCAGGGCCTCACATACACAAGGCTAGTATCAACCAGCTAAACTGCATTCCTGGCCAAAGAATCCTTTCAGAAGGTGAGGGTCTTGGGATGAAAATAATTCTCAAAATAAGGATAGCTCCAGGCAGTATAGTCCCATGAAATAACAGAATGGTCATCAGACAAGCCTTCCAAGGTTTCCCTTCAGCATCTTTTATTTGACCTCATTTGGTTGAGCTCTGATTACCTTCCACTTAACTCACACAACTCTCTTCCACCCGTTTCCACTTTACTTTGTCATAGAAAACATCTTTCTGGTTGTTTTCTTCTATCCTGCCATGGTACAAAGAAATTCCACATGGTTAACAGGTGGTTAAAAACTGCTGAGGGGTCTGTAGTTCCCAACCAAGATCCGTCTCTTTAAAGACCACAGTGCCTTGGGGAGCCAGTGAGGAAGCATAGTGAGTGAGGTGCTTGCCTTGCAAGTGGTCAACCAAGAGTTGATCCTCGATACCCCATATAGAACTCCATATGGTCCCCGAGCCCCACCCGAAGTGACCCCTCAGCAGAGTTAGGACTAAACCCTGAGCACAGCATGGTGTGTGTGTAGCCCAAACTGCCTTCCCCACACCAATAAACCACAATGTTTACTCATTGAATCCTCACCAGGGTCTGTGACTCAGTTTGGAACACTTCCCCTTTTCTCCCTCTTATTAAAAACAAACAAGGACTGAGGAGATGCCATACCTCATCATTGCTGTTTGAAATTGACTTGGATTAATTTATATTAATTGTTATACCCAACCATTAAAATCTTCAAACATCTCTGGAAAAATCCTTCTTGCAGCAGAAAATGCAGTGATTTTCAGGTTGAGTTGGGGAATCCATAATATCATAATGTCATACAAGGGGAAAGAATTTTTCAAAATGGTGCAAATAAAAGTGCCCAACCGAACCAAACCAGGTGTGGGGTGTTTATGTGGCTGAATCAGTCCACAATTAACTTGATTTACATACTACAGTTCAATTAGCTAGAACCCAACTCATCAACACTATGAATTAAAAGGAATTACTTCCTCATATTTGACTCTGTCAGAGTCAAATTTTTTTAGCATATTTATTGAGCACTCACTCTTAATTCCAGGCACATTCATATTTGTGTTTCTTGTAGGCATCTCATCAGTGAGATATTGCTAATTCTATTTTCACAGTCAAATTAAGTTACAGAGAGACTATGCTCTTGCTACAGTGCATTTTATAAATGTCATTGAAAGAACCACCAAGCAAGCCCCAAGTTCTTGATCAATGCTATTCATTGTCTATCTTTTCCTGGTTGAACCCTGTATAACAAAATCATTCACCTTGAGGGCTTCTTACATTCCAAAGCACTTTAATTATTTCATTCATTCATTCATCATCCTGTTATTCGTCGATTGCCTCGAGCAGGCCCCAGTAACGTCTCTTTCATCCTAGCCCTGAGATTATATTCAAGGCTCTTTAGGAGAATGAGACCCATCATTGTTACTGGTATTTGGCATATTTGGTATGCCATGCCACGGGGAGTTTGCCAGACTCTGCCCTGTGGGCAGGCTACAATCGATAGCCTGCAAGTTTGTCCAAAGTAGGCAGGTTTCGGGAGCTGGATTTTATAGTCTCTGAGTCTTGGCCGCTGATGGGATTACACAGCGCCAGGGGGCCAGGTGGTGGGTGTGACCCCTGCCTACTGGAATTTGGAGGATCTGGGTGG